TGACCTAAAGGAACAACCCTCTCATCAACCCATAACATCACCCAGTTTGACCATTCCACAGATTCCTTGTATAGAGACACTACAAGCTTCCTACAACATTTAAAAAAAAAATAAAAACATTCACACCACAAGAAAAGCAAGTTACAGTCTGGTATCTAAAAGCCTGTGGGACATTAGATACTAAACAAAACAGAACCTCTGCATTTATGTATCACATATGCTAACATGTAAAAGTTACTTATTTATGAATGTACTCTGCTTTTAAATAAACATAGTAACACTGATTGAGCAGGTCTTAATGTAGTGAATTAATGCATCTAAGGAGATTCAAACAATTCAAAGAAATTATTTTCACCTCGACCTTCTTGTAATAATCATATATATCATCAATGTACTCGGTGACTGCGAGCGGGTTCTTGTTATCAACACCAACTATGTCCACCACAGCCTCACTCCCATCAGTGTTCCATTTCAACTTCCACATCCTATTAACCAAATTTAACAACCATAAAGAAAGTTCATACTTAAGAAATAGTTCACAATACTGCATTTTTTAAGTATAAATTGAATACCATCAATTTTGTCAAGAATAGCTTTTGTATGTTGCACAAACATGGGCACTTCGTGATCGCCCGTGGCCTTGTGATCTTCTTCATCTATTGCATCCATAATAATACAGTCCTCCAGTTGGCATGCGAACGAATTTGACTGCACGATTTTCATGCCGAACAAGAGATAATCTTCATTAATTCTACGATTATATCAATGTTTTAGGCTTAAGGTTCTTCTCTTCGCACTGTTTACATCTTATATGTATCCAGTTTCAGAATATGATATGTGTGATTTATAAATACCTCAAGGGAATGTACCTTTGCCGCCACTTGTGCAGCAAAACCTCCTGAAAGAAACCAAGAACGAAAAAAGTTTTCTTCAAAGTACATTCACAGGCTCTCGAGCTTTTTCCCCAGATCAAGAAAGCAAAAAGAATACAAATAAAGAAAGGCAAGAAGCTTGAATTTACAGAATTCTACGTACTCTTTCAGAGCCCTTTTTTACAGCAGCACAAGGGTGCGGAACAACTTCAACTATGTTGGCATCAATTGTACTCAATTCCCTTCTGTTATTCCCAATACGTTTTTGGCCTCCTTGCAACAAACACCCTAAAATTTGTACATTTAGAAATAAAAATGTGAAATTTGATCAGACATCCTTTACATAACTAAGATTTCAACTCATAGGAAATAAATTCAGATTTAAACAAATGTAGAAATCTAAATGAAAAGGAGACATAAAAAGGGCTGAATTTAGAGTACCTTAAGTTTTTGAAGATCTGATCAACCCCGGAAAGTTTTCTTTGGACGCGGCCATCAGTAGTCTTCGAACAAGTCTTCTGAAAAAATTCCAAATATAAAAAATTCAACATGAAAATATTGGAGCTGATTCCATACCTGTGTCTCATGCTCTGTCAAATGAACCTGCTTTAATCTTCTTGATCGTCGAGCTGATTCTCTGCTTGAAATCATCCTGCCAAAGTTTAGATGGAATTTATTATATAACAGGCCTTAGTTTGAAACTAAACAGGTATTACACCAGACTTATTAAGGACTACCACAATATATGACTACTTTAGTGCAATGAAGGGATTAATTTTATTAAACATGGATATTAATTAGTCACTAACCCATGTACATTTCATCCTTTTGCTGATGCATTAGAAACTTTGTGTATCAAACAATCCTGAAGAACTTTCATTAGACTTCACATCTTGTAATAACCCAAGTATTACAGATTAATTCATTAAAGAAACAAGAAGATGAAATTAGCACAAAATAAAGAAAAAAGGCAACCTCAAAATCAAGAAAATCAGAAGAAAAAAGAAACCCACTTTACCTCTGTAAATTCACTCAAGAATCCGATAGGATTTGAGAAAGATGACAAAGAAAAGAGTCCTTTAGGATCAATCGATGGAGGATCAAAGGGGAGTTCGAAAAAAGAGATATTTCTCTCTCTATCCTATCTCTCTCTGTGCCCGACCACTGCTCTCGTGAACTACCTTCATCTGCCTTATCCTGCCGCGCCGGTGCTCGGCTTCTAACCGCCGCGTCAACCGTCGTCGCCGGAAATGTACCATCGTCGTTGGCTTCATGTGTATCTCTAAATGATCGAACTCCTGCGGCCATGACTGTGGGTGTTCAATCTGCGCACCACCAATATCAATACAAACCACAAATACGAAAACTAAAATACTTTACAGCAGAAGCTCAAGGAATCCTTTAAAAAGTCAAACCTCGTTTCGTAAAATTAGAATCGAGAAAAACCTCGACGAATTGATTATTTGTCTCCGGTTGCAAGGTCCGGCTGCTGACGGGTGGCAGCGTGTCCTCCATATCCATCAGCCCCTGAGGCGAGCTATCGTCCCGTACCCAAATCCGAAAATTGGTACATTTTCAGTTCGTTCTTTCTTCAGTTCGAACCCAAATCTCATTTTTCTCGACCTGCCGTCGTTTTCTATGGAAGCATCTTGGAAAGAAAAAGGGTTTTAGATGGAAGAGAGAATTTTTGTACAGAGAGGAGAAAAAGGTTTCATGGGAGAAGAAATCGTATTAGAAAATTTTGACAAATTTTGTTGCTTCAAAACTATGCCACCGCTACACTTTTCCACCATTGTATTCAATTTGGTATTTGACCGACTTGATTGTTGCGTGTAAGAGGCGACCTTCAGCAGTAATTGATTGTATCAAATCCACATTTGGTATTTGACCGACTTGATGCCCGACACGTGTCTCGTTTGTATATATATTTAAAACTGACTGAAGGCACCAAAACGGTGTCGTTTAGGCTCAACGAAGAAAAAAAAAGCAACTGCCACGTGTCGACCGCCGGAAGGGTCTAAAATGGACACGTGTCGTCACCACAATTGCCACAACTCGTTTGTATAAGATATAAGATATATATATATATATATATATATATATATATATATATATAACGCTAATTAAAATACTAACAATAGTATACTAACGTCACTATCAACTAACTTAAGCTAATAAAATGAGAATTACATAATTAATATAATTATATTCTTCTAGAATCTTCGTTCCTCGGCTCGCACGGCTTGCCTCGCGTATTCGCGCA